ATATGTTTGTTCTTTGTTCTTGTTCTTTTCTGTAGTTTTTGTGTGTATGTGCTTTATTACTTTATTACTGCCATCACTTGGCATGAGAATGCCACCTGCATTTTTTTAGCAGCATCCAGTTTAGTGGATGAGTTACTTCTCTGTGCCAACTACAGACTCAAAGCAGTGGATGCAAACTTCTCAAAAGAGACGTGGATCTGTGGTGCATCTTTGAGGCACAGCAGGCAGCAGCTAGGGAACCTTGAGAAGTTTCAGTATGGCTTCAGATACTGCTCACTGTGTAGTTAATCTGCTGTTTGCTGCAAGGAATGAGTTACACTAGAGACTTCAGATAGCATCTTACCTTATGTATATCTACATATAAAAATAAAATCAGATGCTGAAAGGAGTAGAAATTTCTCTTTAAACCAGGATATACTGATTTATAGTGAAACTATATCTTGCAGTGCAATGGATTTTGCTAAGGAATCTTTTTTGCATTTGGCAGATGGTAGAGGCCGGGTGAATGAACCCGTAGCTTTGAACTGCCTCTGGTGCCAGCACAGCTTAATTTTGGGTATTGTTTGGATCAGCCTTAGCTTAGCTTCACCCGATGAGCAGCATAGAGGCAGTTTCCAAAGTTGTCCTTAGTTACATGTCTGACCACAAGAACTTATTGCACAATTAGGCTGATAACTTACTAAGGTCTCTCCTGTAAGTAATGTTATGACAGTTAGGGGTCTGTTTGAGCAAACAGCGATCTTCAATGGAAGCAGAGAAGCTGTGACAACCAAAGCAAATGTTAAGGAGTGAACTCTTCCACGGGACCAGTAGCTGCCTGTGGGTAAATAATTGTAGTTGTCCCCAAGCATCTCCCACAGGAAGTGTTCCTCTTGCAGGCAGCAGCTACTCTTAGTGAGGTCAGTTGGCTGCTCTGTCCTTGCCGTGCCCAGGCTTCTGGTGGAAAGCTGGGTCAGTAAGCTCAGGCTAGCTGTATATTGCTCAGTTTGATGGGCGTGATATGAAAGTCAGCTCTTTACACAAGGAGACTTTTAAGATCACTTTAACGGTGATATTTCAAATCCATGAACTGGTGTTACACCAGAAACTAAGTTGATAAATCGTCACTTATCTCTGTCTTGATAACCCAGACACAGAAGTCTGACATAACAACAGTCCTTAAGCAGTTTTCCTCTTGTTAGAACAAAGAAATGGTGGATTAGTGCAACTGAGAATTGGATCTGAATTCTGTACCATCCAAACCCAATGCTGACATTTATCTCAGAGCAGGATGCGTACTTTGGAAATAAGGCTGCTCTAATGAGCTTTTTAAGAACACAAACGGTAACACTCGATTTTCTTTAGCAGTAATTTATTTCCATAATCTCATTAGATTTGAGTTTTGACCTTTTAGAATTTTTTTTATCTAAATCCACTTAACATACTTCTGAAGGGCTGAAGAGACAGTGAGAAGTTAGTAGCTTTCATATTAAAAATATAAGGGCTTTTCAAAATGAAACACTCAGTTCTTACAAAGCCATATATTTAGAGCCACACATTCCTCACTGGAGCAAAGTAAAAATTAACAGAAGTTTGAGAAGAAAACCAGCCTTCTTGTGCTGTGCTAACATGTTCTTTGCTATGTAGCATCTAAGACAGCCCTGGTTTGTGGTTTTCAGTGTTGAGAATTACTCTGCAACCAAATTGGCTCAACTATTAGGATAATTTAGACTGATTATCAAGGAAGTGGTCTTATCTTGTTTTATCTTCTTGTTATTAAGAATTGCCTCTTAGACCACCTGCAGCAGCCCTTCTTTCTCACCTTTTAATGCACCGTACGAAGGTAATTTAGAAGGCAGGGAGCAAAGCTTTACGCCTTCTGAACTACAGGCTAAATCTGATCTAGGATGGGCTCTTTGAAACCAAATACATAATGCACATGACATAGAAATCTGCTGCTGTTCTGATTAATTTCCAGTCCATAGAATTGTTCACATCAATTGTCAGAAGGTTTGGTTTCCACTGATTATAACAGATGTGCTTCCTAAAATGTCTGGGGAGAACATAATGAGTGGTAAAGATTTTCAAAGTAATCGTGCTTTCACTTTGGCAGCAATTTCAGAGGGAAGAATGTGGTCTGTCTTCACCATTTATACTAAGGTGCCAATGACCCATCACGTTGTTATTTATTTGCAGTGGTACGTGACTGCATAATTTCACTTGTAAGTGGTTTACATGGAAGCTTCTCTGTGCTTGTTAGCTAGTGAAGTGATCAGTAGCTGCTTGTCTGCTTTCCAGTGTAGATTCCTATTTGGTCTTTCATCCCAGACCAAATTCAGAATTATATCTGGCATTATCTTATACAGAAATCATTAATATATTCTTTAGCACAAAGCAGCTCTCACAGAAATGGAGTGCAGCAGGAGAATTAGCACAGTGACAGCACCTGAGTGCACCCCTGGATGTGTCCTCATTGGAGTGCTGTTGTGTACATACCCAGCAAATACAAGACTCCAACAAATGCAGGTGTCTTTGCTTACGTTCTGTGTGCCATCCTGTTTTACTCCTGAAGGATAAGTAAAACACAGAAGCTTATTATTGCAAGGTTTCTGTTAAATCCATGTTTCCTGTGCAATTTTTCCTGTTTCAATGTACTGAATCTGCTTTCTTGCAACCAGATTTCCTCTTAGTTACAGTCAGAGAGGAGGGCATAGTCAGCAGCTTCTGCAATAGGAGGCTTCAGTGATACATGGCTTTCCCACATAGATGGTGTGTAGGGAAAGGTGGTGGGGGACACATCCTCCCCATAGCTGTGGCTGTGAATTGGCAGGTTGGCTGATAGAGGTGTGTGTGAGGTAATTAACCAAGCTCATCACTGTATGAGGCTTCTCTTCGAGGAGCTGCCAAGCTGGCTGGCCTGACTGGAGAAACCATTTTCAGCATCAGGGCATTTTAGCACGCTAATCAGTTTGTATTTATTACCAAACACCTGCAAATGAAATGAGAGTAGTAGCAAAGAAGCAAATGTGCAGTTGTATAAATGTGTGGCACTGAGCAATGCCATGATTTCACAGTGATGCTGATCTGAAGCAGGCAGCTATTAAGGTGGAATGAGAGGTAGCAATGTCATCTCCAGGTATTAGGTAATCCGTCTTGCAAACAGCATTTCCCTAATGTGAGGAATTGCACAGTTCTGCCTTCTGTACCTGAGATGTATCTGGGAGCTGATGTGACCCATACATGGTGAGAGATCAGCGTGAGAATGTCAGAGTGGATGCTGATGGGAATGATCCCTGCCTGGCTGTCATGACATAAAAGAGACGCTGAGCTGGGCCATGAAAGAGCAAAGTGCCGTAAGAAGGACAGTACTGGGCAGTACTGAGAAGCAAGATCAAGAAATTGTAATGCTGGCTGTAGGATTTCACTCTGAGAGAAGACAGAAATACCAGATTTGGCAGCTGCCAGCCTCTCAGGCTTGAGGGACGTATCTGTCAGGGTGCTGTTCAGCTGAACTCTGTTCTCCTTATATTATTGTTCACCCCAAAACTGAATCTGTGTGCCTACATGAGGTAGGTGCAAGCTGGCACTGCCACTGAAAAGGTTTGGCTGTGGTTTCACACACACTTTCCCAAGATTTCTTGGATTAACCCCTCTGTTTAAGTGTATTTGAATTCCGGATGTCCGACTGTCCCAAATCTGGGTTTGGGACTTCATGGTGATGCCTTGCTGTAAAAGTTGTTTTGTTGCTACTTTCTTGCCAACATCAGGACTGTTTCTGCCCCAGAATCAGCCATTGGGCACCCTGGTGCTCACCAGCATTCATTCCTCTTCAGTTCAGAGCTGGCTGGTTGTTTCGTAATGGAAAACTTAGAGGAGAAAGTTGTGCTGGAAATTTTCCTTAGGAAGCTGGCTGTAGTGGTGATCTTTGCTCCTCTGTCTTGCTATTTGTTGCAATATCAATATGTTGATTTATCACCCACTGCAGGATTTGTTCTAGTTTTTCTACAAAAGAGAGGGTCCTGTCCTTCACATAAGTGCTCAGCTAAGCTGGAAATCGTAGTCCAGACAGATGTTCAGTACTCTGTGACTTCTCTTCAAGTAAATAACTTGGTTTACATATGAAAGGGTGTTCTCTGCCTAAGTCTACTCTGCCAGAAGTACACATTTTTTCAGCTGCAGCAATTGCTGAGATTGCAGCTGAAAAGTTTCTCTAGTTACAGCAATGGCTTGTTGTTCCTTTAAACAAATGCTAATTTCCACAAATAAGATATATAACAAAAAGATGAAGTTGTCAGAATTCCTTTAAAATACTTTATATTGTTGGCACTCAAATACATGATTTTATGCCTATTCCTAGAAATACGCAATTTCTACGCAGTCCTGGGAATAAAATCAATGTTTCTTTTATCAGCTCAGGCTCTGTTACCTCTGCTCTGATTCTGCTTTTTACTTTCTAGTTTGAAATGCCGTGACCTTCCTAATTATTTCACTGCAGAGAAAAGGAAGTCTATTTCTCCTTTTCTTGCAACTTCATGTTGCTGTAGCACACTCCACAGCCTTTACCGGTTACACCCAATGTGTGCTGCACACAGCTCATCAGTGCCTTAAGGGCTAACTTCCATTTGACCTAAATCCTTTCATTTTCAGCTCAAATTCTGCCGCTGCACCTCTTGTTGCACTGTGTGATATCTGTGTTAGTGTTCTCATTGGCTTTGGTGTGACTGCTGGCCTGATAAAGACAATTCATTTGAAGGAGCAGATACAAGAAGCCAAGTGCTTAAACTCAGGAATGTGCTGCAGGGTGCTCTTCCTAAGGCCACACACAATGTTATCTGTGAGGCTCAGGAAAAAGCACGTTTCCAAATGTAGGATTTGGCTTAAAGGACAAAACAGGGTGGGGCTTTCCTCACTTAATTTCACGTTTGTCAGCTTTCCCTAAGAAGCTGCATGCCGTGATAATTTTGATATGTCATCCTTTCCCTGAAAACTGTTTAACGCTAGATTTTATTGTTATTTTTCAGGTGTTCAAATGAAACCATATTCAAAAAAGAAGATTTGTTTTGGGCATATAATTTCTGCCCCACCCCATACTCCTGGACAGCACTTCTGGGCCTTATTTTATACTTGGTTTTCTTTGCACCTGGTAAGCTAATGTTTGTTTTCACGTTGAAGTTTAAGAAATGGTAAAGGTGAAATAATAAATGGTGAGGCTACACATTAAACTTGCTCTTCAATGCAGCCATTAAACTGAGATTGATTTGTTTTTAATTCTTAGGGATGGGTCCCATGCCCTGGACCGTGAATTCTGAAATCTACCCTCTGTGGGCTAGAAGTACAGGAAACGCGTGTTCATCTGGAGTCAACTGGGTTTTCAACGTGCTGGTGTCACTGACCTTCCTGCATACAGCTGAATATCTGACCTACTATGGTAAGGAACAGTCTGTGTCCGCGGACGCAGTGCTAGCATTGATTTTCTGCTGCTTAGATTCTAGATCTGTTAGTTTGGCTGTGAAATTGCAACTGTGAATGCAGTGTTCTCACCTAACTGTGTTCCATTAAGACCAGGCACCTGGTATGACCTGCCTGCAGTTTGGTCCTGATTCCATAAGAAATGCTTCTTTCTTTCTAGAAAGTTGCATAAACAAGGAATCTGAAAAAAATTACCTTTTGGCTTGGTGAAATATTTCACTTAGAAAGACGGCATCTGCAATTTCTCATTTTGTAATGGCATCTGAGACCAATATCAGTTGTCGTTGCCAAAACTCCGTACAGCTGAAGATGCTACTGATCTGCTCCCAGCTGTTGATTATTGAGTCCTGTCTGCTGGAGCCTGTGGAGAGCTGGTCAGCTTACTGCTCAGCCCCTCCGCTACAAGTCCTGTACATTGCATGAAGATCTGGTGACCTTCACATCATTACTGGTGCAGAGCCTTTCAGCAGCTGCTGCTCTTTTCAGGCATCGGTCTTGAAACAAATGGCAGGTAAATGTTGGGCTCTTGGTGCCTTCTTGGCTCCCCATAAATGGGGGGGGCAAATGTATGAGGGGTGATGAGATCATTCTCAGTGCCAATTGTCTTTGGTAAGTGATAATTAGATGTAAGAGTCTCAAGCATTATTTTAATCGCGGCTGTTTCTTTTTTGTTGAAGTTTCTCATTTTTGGGAAGCAGTCTTAGTGATTCCCGTGACATTAAGAATAACTAAGAAACTTCTCACCCTTCCTATCAACTTTTTTTTTATTGGCTATGCAATAATTTAATTGCTGCTTATTTTCACAGCAAAATGACTTGCCAAAAAACAGATGAGTTCTGCCTTTCCCAGAGGGGTGGGATGCTCCATCACTGACTGTGTGTGTTCTTTTGTATTGCAGGAGCCTTCTTTCTGTACGCAGGGTTTGCTGGCCTGGGACTCCTTTTCATCTATGGCTGCCTTCCTGAGACTAAAGGGAAAAAACTAGAGGAAATTGAATCTTTGTTTGAAAGCAGGCTATGTACATGTGGTATGTCAGATTCTGATGAAGGGAGGTATATTGAATATATTCGGGTGAAGGGAAGTAATTACCATCTTTCTGACAATGATGCTTCTGATGTGGAATAATTTTCAGCTGCTAATGTATTTAATCATGTAAAAGCCTTCTGGGGGAAAAGCAGCTCTCTGGTGACCTCACTGCCCTGCTTCTGGTCTGGTTCTCCTTTCTGCTGTCTAGTTAAAAATGCCTTCGTGTTCAAAATGGCTCAGTTTGGGAGGAAATTCAATATGCTCATGTTTTCTTGATAACTAAAAGCAATGGCTTCCAAAAGAGATTGAATTCCACAATTATATGAATTAACCAGATGTTTGCAATCCCACACCATGCTGAGATATTTTGCATGATGTACTGTGCCAGATGAATGTAGAAGGCTATCCTAGGTGGTCAGTGGTTGTCCTTATCTTCAATACTGGCAAAAGTTGAAGCAATGTTGTAGCTAGTCAGAAAGCAGCTGACATCAGTCAGATCCCCAGCTCTTAGCAGTCTATCAGACAGCTCTTGTATGCCACACAACAAAGGTTGCTGCTGCACTGGTAGCCATTTGAAAGGATTACATGTATCTCCTGTGTCTGTCAGAGGGAACCTTGTCCAAATTATCCCAATGGAATTTCATTTGTATTCATTTGAGATGACTGCAGAGAGCCATGGTCACCCAGGTGGTGCCTCATCAGGGCGCCACGAGTCTGTTGTCCCAGGTTGTGTTGCGGTTGCTGCTCTTTACGGACACGCTGCAGTCAGCAGCTCGTGTCTGTGAGATCCACTGCCAGAACAACATTCTGAGAGCAGGAAACAGAACCCAGGACATGGCTGCATGTACCAGTGAGCTGGTGGTGTGCACTGCTGCGGACAAGAGAGAGGCTACAGTCAGTTGGAAACCAATGATTTTTTTTCTCCTTTTCAGCATGTGTACATTTGGCTTTGTGCCTAGTTTTGAACACAAAATATCACGAGCTGGAAGAAATAAAAGGAAGGGAGAGGTTTTCTGCTGCTAAATGCACAGTGGTCATTCCTCCTGTGCCTTTTGCTAATGAATAATCAAATTGCCTTCAGTTTATCTTCCTATTGCAGGGTGAGTGAATCCCAGCAAATTTTTCCTTCAAATGCCCTTAGTCAACCCGTGTCTTTCTGGATCAAAAGAAAAATATTAGTGATGGGCAGAAGCCTACATCTCATATTAACTGCCTTACTGAAGCATTGCAAAATTGTCAAGAAACCGTCAGGCACAAAAATCAAGTTGGCTGCCTTTAGTGTGGTAATGAAAATATTAATGGCGTTTTATTCACCTGCCGTGATTGCCTGCCTTGGCAAATTGAATTTTATGCAGCTACATAAAAGTGTAATATTATTTTTTTTCCTTGCCCTGTTTCTTTCCACGGCTTTAATTCTTCGGAGGTATGAGTTTGAAAGCATAAAAAATTCAAATTCTTATCTCTAAAACCTTTGCTTCATGAATGTGGAAAGCCTCCTCTGCCTGTCGGCTGCTCCCCATTTGCTTGGTAAAAATGCATTTATTTTTCATTGTTTACGGATTAAAGAAGTTGTTGGATCCACTACCTTTTAGAGATACACTTTGTGGGCTCTTTTTGGATTGAAAAATATTTTGAGTGTAAAGGAACTGTCAAAATGATAGTGAACATTTGTTACTAAGTTATTTTTATTGGATAATATGTGGAGTTTTCGTTGTAATCATGAAATATGATGCTATGCTGTCTGATCTTACACAGGAGAGGTTTCTTACTCTCTAATTAGTGAAATTCAATGATTGGATGTATTTTAGGTTATTTTCTTTTTTACTTCATAAATCAAAGAAATATTTTTGGAAAGAAAATATTTTAGAGCATCCTTCTGTAACTTGACTGGGAATAAAAGGGAAAAGCATAGCAAACAGAGGGAGAGGTGAGTTACTGCAAAGAGCAGACTGACCTCAAACCTCTGAGGGGCGGTGACAGCGCTGCATCCCAATCCTCCAGCCTCCTTCCCTCTCTGTGAGCGCACAATATTCCCAGGCTTGTAAGCACCAGCAGCAGGAAAGGACCGGCTCTCCGACCCTTTATCTGAATGCATCAGTTTCAGACCAGCCGTTGGGCTGCTGCCGCTTCAAAGCCTCGCCAAAGGTGCAGTACCTGAAATGAGAGAAAGGGACGCTTCTCACAGGTGAAGTTCAGGGTGAATTGGTTTCCTTCTGAAGCCAAAAAATAGCTGCTGGAAGACCCTTCTTCAGAGCAGGTTGTTATCCAGAGCAGTGTGAATAGGTGCCTACTGCCCAATGTGTGCACGTTGGGATGCTGCACAAAGACAGACTGAGGCAGGTATTTCCTGGTTTTTCAGGACAAGGACTTATGGCTCTGATCTCCAGAAGTGTGAGCCCAAGGTCCCTTGATGGAAGCACTGGAACTGGGAGCACTGGTTTGTGCTCCCAGTTCCAGCACTTACCTCCATGTCCACAGGTAGAGGAAACAGCAGCACTTTGGTGGCATAACCAAAGTGAAGTTCCTATGAAAACTGCTGTCACGAGATTAGCCTCTTTCTTTTCTTGCAGGCAGTGCTGGGACTTTTTAGCAGCAGAAGACAACCTCTCTTTGCCAGCGTTGTTTCCTGGACGTTCTCAGAAGTGGCATTCGGTTGTGTGCAGCGCTAGGTTATTTCCCACACTACAATTCAGTCTCTCTTAGAGCAGTTTTCTGAAGTTTTACATCCTGGGCCCTTTTTCTTGAGGCAAAGTGATTGAATCACAAGCATCTTGTTTATTGTCACTACTTCTTATGAGGATGCAAAATATATTGGCTTCTTTGCTGTCAATCCCCTTTCCTACCCACAGAGTTGGGTTTTAGTCTTCCTCTTAAGGTTGCTTTACACAAAGGAAACATTCCACACCTTATTAACCCCGGACCTACTACCAAGCATCATGTATCTTAAAAGTGAGATCAAATACTTGAAATTAATCTTACATAATTAGGGCAATTAGGGTTTTATTTTTAGAATCTGTGAACATTTATAATGTATGAAGATAATTAAACAGATGTTTCTATTTTGCAAAGATTTTTATATCTGTGCTTATTTTAAGTTTTAAGAATTTTTGCTAAGGGTAGTGCTAGTGACATTCCAGACAGAAGAATACAAATACAAATGCAGTTGAGTCATTTCTTACGACAGAACGTTAATTTATGAAGTAGCATAAGTAGCACACCTAAGCACAATGTTGTCCTACAGACAGCTTTCTGCAGGAGGTGGGTAGGAGTTCCTTTGCAGGGACTGCACCTTCATTCAGGTATTCTGTGCATGAGGAGCACTGCTGGTAGAGATGTGTGTGGATCAGACACTGATCACACACTGCGGTTTGAAATATTTCAGCAGCTCAGATTCTTTACAGGTTTGGACCTATGAGCAAGAATAAAAGGAACAATTCCTGATGAGTTTTTAACCTTTCGTATTTTAATTCACCTTAATTCCCCTATGGAGGTTTATTAACCATGTTCGAATTCTTACAGTGTTGGGGGGGAGGGGGGGTGAAGTAATTTGCAACTTGTTTCTTCCCACTGTCACTTTGTTGCTCAAAATCATTTTTTAAAGGGAGAAACAAACTTGGTTTTAAAAGAAAACCAAACCAACAAAAGCAAAGCAAGCCCCTGGGACTCTTTTGAGGGCTGAAGCTGCATTGTACACGTGCGCCTTAGGTTGCTGCCATAGACACTGACAACCAGCGAGTCTCAGTGCCTGCCCTGTCAGACAGCGTGGGGTAAGAAACAAAAGATGTGGCACGTTTCAGTAGGGATAGGATTGGAGCCGACAGGAGCTGTTGGCATCTCTCCTGTGGGGCAGAAGGGCAGGGAACCAGGGAGGTTCCCGGCGCAGGTGGCATCCTGCAGAGGGCAGCAGGACGGGCAGGCTGAGGGCAGGGGCTGTGTTTCCCCTCTTCATGGGGGTGAAGACACGGCAATAGAGATAGCAGAGCAAATGCTTTCTTCCTCTGTGAAGTCTCTGTCCTCAGCTGGACAATAGGAGGAAGTTTTGACTGAAGCTCACTGCGGGGCTCCTGGCAGTCCAGGAGGGCCTGTGCTTTGGGCACTCCCTGCAAACACACTGTGGGTCGGTCAGAGCAGGCCCCGTGCTTCTCAGCCTCACACCCACCCTGCACTGCTCAGCGTACTGCTGTTCCAACACAGACACCTTGAAGTTCTCCTTGCGATTGCCTTAGAGGCTCTGCAGGCCAAACTCAGCGGGGACGGGTCAGAGCCTTCATTGCACAGAGCAGGAGCTAAGTCCGAGTAGCAAGTCGTGCGAAGCACTTTAGCGAGTCAGATATCTGTGCACTCTTTTCTGAGAGAGCCAAGCCAACCAAACCCCATTCCTCATTGGGAAGAAAACAGAGCTTTGTGTACCAGGCCAGAAGCAGATAATGCCACAGTATGTGCTTTATGGCAAAATGTGTTTTTATTGCAGGTAATATTTACAGCTTACATGTAGCTGCTGCCTATCAAGTGACACAATTGTTCTCTGGATTTTAACAAGTCACATTTTTGTGCAAAACTCTTGGTGGTTTTCTATCAATCTCCATCGCCTTGTGTACAGTACAGTAAGCGTAGTCCACAAAGTGGTCTAGGTTGTGGCAGTGTTAAAAATGTCAGCACAGTAAAACCTAGGTGAACATTGTTAAAGAATAATGTTGTTAGTGATATCGGGGGTTAAAACTCCTTAAAGGCAACTATATTATAGATTTTAAAAGTCTGAAAAAAAAAAAGGCAATTCTTATCTATTTTGTGTATGTTTTCATATAGAGAGTTTTTTATGTGCCGATAACCATCACTGTAGTGTTTTGTAAATGGGTGTTAATGGTGTTCCAGAGTTGTGTATATGAGCATTCCCTTTAGCCAGGCTGAGCTGTCAGTGTGACCCAGCGGCATGTTTCACACCTCTCCTCGAGGCTCACTGTCAGCTTCACTACAGCACACGGGGAGCTGGACCAGAACCCGGCCTTGGGAACCTGCAGTTCACCTCGAGGCCCACTTCCTCACGTTTTTCCTACACGGTGTGTTACAGCTGAATGACTTGGTGTGTGTAATTATAAAGCTTCAAGTGTGCTTCAGTTGCACTCCGATCTTTCAAAATTCAGTTTGACATTTCATTGTATTTGCACAAGGAAGGGGAGCGCTGATTAATTATGAATAACGTCCCTGTATTTCTAAAGGAAACATCCGTTCAGGAAGTGTTAAAGGCAAATTTCTGTCGCTGCCTTAAACATCACACAGACTTTGGAGAGGACTGAATGTAGGACTGACGTCGTGACTTCTGCAGGAGAAACTTCAGCTGGTGGGCTGGGTGCTGGGGGGAAGCCCAAGGGTTCCCCGGTGCTGGGCTGCCAGCCCCAGCTCGTGCCCCCGCCCTGCCTGGTGCGCGCCCGCTGTCTGGGCGCTGTTGGGCGTCCGAGTGGTGCCCATGAAAGTGGTGGGATGATTGTTCTCGACGTTCTTCATGTGCTCCAGTGTCCTGCTGGTCCGGGGCATGGCGGGAATTGGCACAGGTCTTGTGTCTGCCTTTCATCTGGAATCTCACAACCCTACAAAAGCATCGCCCGGGTCTTTCTGCCACGAATTCTCTTTAGGGTATTTGAGACTTTATTGGAGACCAAATTGGTAGAAATAAATGCTTTTGCGTTCCATAATAACATGCATACGGTGCCATCAGGATGCATGGTGTGGTGTTTGGTAAAAAACAGGTTTGGGCAAAACTCACTGTCAGATCATCCAAGTTATTTTGTTATCTGAACAATGTCAAACATGTGCCATTTCCTTTTGCAGCCAGTCAAGCCTATAATGTATGAAAGTGTTGTACATTTTCTGAAACTTCAGTGATGTATAATTATTTAATTGACTTCTGTTCTGATTGCTTTAATGACGTTTGGTCTTTACATAAAAGTAAATATCTTCAAAGAATTGTCAGTGCCAGAAGTGTAAATGAACAAAATAAAAGGTGATACTTAATTACAGAATGTTCCTCGAGGTCTTGTTTGTTTGGATACTCCTAGAACAGGAAAATGGCATTGCCCAGCAAAGCGAACTAAAACAGTCCGTGCGCTTACCTGAAATAAGAAAAGAACAATAATTTGGGATAGGATTGATGTGACCTTAAATAGAATGTTTCGAGCCGCAGTGTGACGGTGGCCCAGTGGGACAGAGCTGCTAAGGACTGTAATTAATTACAGCTCGCACTGAGGGGCAGACAACTCGTGCCAAGGTGATGTGCAACCAGGGACGGCTCCTCAGAGGGCCACAATGCTCCCTGCCTCCTGAGCAAAGTTGGCTCTGGGGACACTCCAGCCCAAGTGGCAGCAGTCCTGCTCCTCCCCGCTGTGTCACGCACTGTGGGCCCCTTGTGAGGTTCAGCCTCGCTCCGACCAGGCTATGGCCCTTTGGCCTGGGGTCTGAGGGCTCCCAGCAGTGCTGCTGAAGGGATGCTGGCATTGGGATCCTGCTCAGCAAAGAGCTGTGTCTGCAGGATGTGCAGACTGAGCTCATGGTTTCCATGCTGACAGGTGATCTGTTTAGGTTTCTGGCTGATAGTGTTTGTAAAGGTGATGAATAACTGCCGTTCAGATTACTTGTCACCAGAACCACACAGCGGCTTTTGGAGTAATGAAAAGCTGGTGGCCCTGCTATCAAACACTCCATTTTCTGGATGTCTCCCATTCCCTCTGTTGCAGCTGCTTTCACAAAACAATTACCCATAGATATGTTGCTGCTGAAAGGAGCCTAGACTGAGCTGCGGGCAGCAGCACGTTCTCCCAGATCTCTGTGAGCTGTTCCAAGCCTGGACATCACATCTGGATGCTGCCCATTCACACCAGAGCCACACTGCAAAGATGCTGCCACACTGAGGGCTTGTGCTGGGGCTGCTGTCACCAAGGCTCCTGTGCAGGTTGACGCTGGGCTTCTCACAGCACTACTGAAGCCCAGCAGGGTCGGCTGATAGAGGAGCAGCACCAGAGGCAGTAGTGCTGTGTTTATTGCCAGCAGTGCCCACTCTGTGCAGTAACCAGGTTTCCTTGCAATCTCCTTTTGATAAACAGTTTGAATGGGCTAAATCTCCAAGTATGAGTTGTTTTTCATCTAGATGTCAGGTTTTCATTCTCTCTCTCTCTCCCCCTCTCTCTCTCTTGACATTTCTTGGGCACTGCGGTGTTTGTTCAGTGCTTAATCTCCCAAGGGGACATACACAGAGATGGACGTGGTACAGTTGGTGCATTTTGCCAAAATGGATACCACCACTGACCCAGTTGCAGCCTGTTTCAGTGCTGCCACTCACCTGCCACTGCAGCAGCTGCAGAAGGAGATGTTTGGTGGCAGCCCCATAATGAGTCATCCTGCACGGAGTAGAGGGCGTTTCCATCCCCATTGGCCCTGCAGCGGGCGGCCTCAGCCTTGTTGGGGAGTGATGCTCTGGAGGAAGCCCTGCTGCTAAATTGGTACTTGGTTTCATCTTTTCACGCTGTGATGACATCAACTCGTCTGACTACTGCCAATGAGCTCCCGTTTCCATCTCAGGAGCTCCAAAAATGTGCCCATTTGCAGGGAGCATTGCTTCTTCGGAGGTCAAATCTCCCCGCAGACATCCTGCTTCAGGAGAATTACTCCACTCCAGGGAACAGAGCACATTTCTGCAGTGTGATGTATCGCCTTGTCATCCCAACAGCCACAGCTCTGGGTCCTGCAGCCAAGCCCACCCCTGTGTGCTGAGTGGGGCACTGCTGCCATTAATCACAGCCCTCTTACTGCAAGTGTACCCAACACAGCTGGCCTGGAAATGTTTAATTCTCATACAGTGGCTCTCTTGCAGCCTCCTGCCTTACCTTCACTGATGTCTTCTGCACCAGCACTGAGCACTCTGCGGGCTGCTGTCCCCTGGCTGTCCCATCCCAAGAATGGCTGCATGCCATGCAGGGACTGTCAAGGCATAGGGTGGGAACTAGCAGCAGAGTAGGAAGATGGGAGGGAGGAAGGTTTGTTTTTGGCTCATCGAGCTGCGGGACCTCACCGCAGCTCAGTATCACTGCCTCAGAGGGGGTGGCTGTGACACAAGTAGATGAGACAGTCACCTCCAGCTTGTCAGAAGCTACTGATGAAAAGA